GGTGATACTCTAAGGAAGCCTTAGCGTGAAACTTCAAAGACACAAATGTAAGCTTCCACAAAACATACAAATTTGAAATTGCTACTCTCTGTTTGTAGTAGCACAGCAAACAAGGAGTAGCAATTTCACATTTGTATGTTTTGTGGAAGCTGACATTTGTGCCTTTAAAGTTTCACGCTAAGGCTTCCTTAGCGTATCACCTTAAGGTTGTAGTTGTTACGAAAGGCTTGCTCCGTTTTTCAAATCATGATTTTCTTGGGGAACTTCGACACTTGCTGTTTCCAGAGTCCTGAAACATCGAACTTGTCTTTCGCAGTCACATACTGGTTTCCCGGAATTGGTTTGAAGTCCGCTTTTATGTATGTTTCATCGTTCATGATATAGCAGTGTGGTTTTGTCAACATTTGTGTGTACACCTAGGTTGGGTTAGCGTTTGAAGGCAGCAATCAGTCACTTGTGATCTTCAACGCAGTACAGAACACTTTTTCTTGTACTCACTTGCTTCCGATTGACAGTTAAACGTTAACCGAAACGTTTTATGACACGAGAAACAGTCGATTGTTAGATTCCCAACATCTTTCCGATGGCTCGGTGCGAAGGATGTGGGTTGTTGAGGTGAGTGTACAAAATTTTCTCACGTACGCGCTGTTCCTTCGACTTCATTTTCAAAACTATTAGAAATTTCACTATGAAACTCACGCAGTGTAAACAATATGTACATGCTGAGGCTATCTCACCCACAATTTCAATATATTATCCCAAAGGGCAAAATGTTGCAGTGATGCAAAATGTTGAAAGTGATGCAACTTAACCGTGGACACCCTTTAGGGCAGGTTTTTGAGACATACCAGTTAGTAGTAAAATTACATTTATTTGTGTTAATTATGATTTTACATTGTTTTAACATTTCAATTGATTAGCCTATCCAGGCTCTTCATTTTTGTTTCATTTGTTATTCTAATTTACGTATTCACGTTTTTCGACTAGTCTATAGAATACCCCTTGGGGGGTGTATTATGTTTGAATTGAAAAAAGTGATAACCTACCTAACTACGAGTATAACTTAGCCTAACGTGCTAGATCATGTATGATCTGATGAGCTGATCTCAGACAGGTGATTCTGAACCTTTCCAGGATAAACACTCTCCGTTTTTCTAATGTCTGAATTCCAGCCAGGAGGTGGATCTCAGAATTTCTAGTTCACGGGGGACTGTTTAGGATCATCCTAAGGATCTTGTTCGGGATCCTTTGAATTTTGAGGTGATGGCATTTGGCGCAACTCTCCCTGATTGGCATACCGTACTCGATTACGGGAAGGGTGATTTGTTTGTAGACAGCAAGCTTATTTTTCAGGGATAGGGTAGGCCTCCTGTTGATGAGTGGATACAGGGATCTTATCAGGATGTTACACTTGGTTTTCGTTTTATCAACGTGTTCCCTGAAAATCAGCATGCTGTCTAGTGTTAAACCGAGGTAGACTACCTCTTGCGACCATTCCACCACTGTGCCGTTGAGGCAGATCGATAGATATCGGAGGTGAACAGGTTGAATACAATGGGGCCAAGTATGTTTCTTTGTGGAACCCCAGAACCGATGTTGAAAGCATTCGATGTGATGCCATTCAGAGAAACTCAGAACGTCCTGTCCGATTCATAGTTATTTATTAGTCACTAGGAAGATTGGAAGACCGTACTGCTGAAATTTGAACACCATGAACGCTTTTTCAACGTCCAACAACGCCATGGCAGATGTTTTCGACACAGACTTGTTTCGTCTGAGAATGTTTGTTACTCGAGTCAGCTGGTGGACGGTCGGTGAATGGAGGAGCATGCTTTATTGAAAATTTCTGGTGCAAAATTTGCATCGCTCTGATAAATGAAATGAACAGAAAATTTCTGGTGGAAAATTTATACTGGTCTGGTAAATGAAGGCACAAGCTTTATTTAAAATTAAGCTATATTGAAAATTTCTGGTGGAAAATCTGCCCCGTTCTGGTGAACGGATGGGCAAGCTTTTGGGAAAAATTTTGGTCTTAAATTTGCATCCTTCTGTTGAATAGAGAAACAAACTTTAATCATAATCTCTGGTGTAAAATTTGCACCATTCTTATTATTGGAGGGAAGCGGCTTTACTGAAAATTTATCATGAAAAATCTGAAAATAGGGGCATGCTTTATTTGATGGAAAACCTGCAACATTCTGATGATATCCATATTGCTGTATTCCAAGCTATATTGAAAATGTCTGTTGGAAAATGGAAAAAGGAAATCTGCACCATTCACAAGATTGGAGAAGCAATTTTTATTGAACGTTAACAGTGGAACATTTGCATCGTTCTGGTCAATTAAAATTTCCTGGTGGAAATTTTTCTGGGGGCAAAATTGTATTGTAAATTTCTGGTGTAAGATTTGCAACAATCTGCTGCATGGAGAGGCAAGCTGAATTTAAAATTCTTGATGTAAAAATTGCACAGTTCTGGTGAATGGAGGGGCAAGGTTTATTGAACATTTCTGGAAGAAAAACTACAACGTTTTGGTGAATGGACGGACAACTTAAACTTGACTTCCGATAAGAACCTCAAGGGTATTGAATTCTGAGGACAGTTCCAAATGAAAAAAATTCGGTATTCTTTTCGAAATCATCTTGCAACTATCTGCAGGATGTACAAGAAATTATTCGCAGAATTTTCTTGGAATTCTCCCCAGAAATCCTTTGGAAGTGTCCTCGGAATTCAATAGCCTTGAGGTTCTTCTCGGATTTTTTTAGAACTCTCCTAAGCTTTTGAAATTCTTCTCAGAAGTCCACTGGAATTATATTTAGAACCCTTCATGATTTTTTCTCAGAAAACCTGGGAACTGAAATTCCTTTAGAGTTTCAGAAATTTTTCCTGGAATAAGCTAGAAATTATCCTAGGAATTCGCTTGAAATTTAGCTTAGAATCCCTTTGGAATTTCACTCAAAATTTGATTTTCTCAATCCCTTAAATTTGTCGAACCTCTTAACGGAATCCCTTTATGAACAGCTTTGAGTGTGTTGGTTAATTTCCTTTTAATTCCGTTATTATTGCTTATCTTTTGACAGAAACGCGAATTTCATCTACTACTTGCAGACTTAATCAGTGCCAAGTACTCAACACCACTGATCAAGATTGGATTGATCTAGAGCAATATACTGTTTGTTCACTGCTATGCGCACTGTTTGAACCTTGTACTTGTCGACGCAGTGTGCATGCGAAAGGAGAATACGATGTTGGTTTATCGGTGCTATCACCACCATCTGATGTGACTTCAGCTGAATCCAACCACCAAGGCAACAACATTGCAGCAAATGTATCATTTCGGTTAAAGCCCTACTATCGCAACCATTTGACGAACCGATCATCATCGACATCGTCGATGGGATTGAATTGCCAATTTCCATTGGCTGTCTGAAAGCAGTTTGCATTGAAGAAGATGAACCACGACCGGAGCAACAAATAAATAAAATTAGCTTAATTGAACAGTAGGGAAACAGTGGTGGGTGGACAGCACCATCCACCACGCACTTTGGAGTACTCCCCATCCCCAGATTAAATGCACCATAGAAAAAAAAATGGCCCCTCCTTAACACGCTAGTGAGTGCCAGATGGTTGTAGAATGTGGAACTCAAGTGTTTGAGTTCCAGATTCAGGATGTTGTCAAAACCTGGGTTCTTAGATGATTTGATATAGGCCAACAGCTCGTCAGCCATAATCTCGGATTCCTCGGGAAACATATTAGGATTCTGATGGAGGTTGTGAGGGCTGACGATGTTTTGTCCGAGATTATGGGAGCTGACGAAGTGCCGTGGCAGCCTTGTAGACATACCATATGCAGGAAGTTTGCTTGTACACTGGCGCCACGTAGTAAGAGAGTTCTGAACTAATATGAGCACCATCCGAATGGAATTGGTCACCTGAAGAGCTTTGCTCATGATAGCAACACTCTATATGGTAAGGATCGCGAGATATTGGACCCAAATTCCTTATATTAAAGTACCCGTCATAAGTAACATGAAAGCGGAGGGATATCCTGAATCAGTTACCTTTTAAATCTCAATAATAAGTGAAAAACATGATGAACAAGAAACAGGTTCAGGACTTTATTGAAATTGACTTTTGCCCGCTAGTTTATTTGTATTAATTAATTTAATAGCCTTATTACAATTGATGTTAAGAAGCATTAAATGTAATATTCCACTAGGAGCAGGAGAATCATAGTTTATGGTAAATTTTGGCCATTGCTGCTAAATAAATGCTGGACAAATGTATGGCAAAACAACTGCTAATATTGCGAAAGCTGTTATAACTTCCCCCCGTTCAAAGGCGAATGTGGAAAAATATAAACATACATTCTGTGGAACATATTTCATATTCAGCCTACCGATTCAGGATGCTGCTCAGTCCACCCTTACAAACTAAACGGGCAAAAGTTTTCATCCCCCATCAAGAAAGAAAAAAAGAAAAGAGAAATACCTACAACAAAAACACAATTCCGTCCTTTTGGACATCCTTTTCACCACACGATTTGATAAATTTATACACATATAAGAATGGAAGAGCTGGCCATCCCACCCCAAGGTTCGGAAAGTAAAAGAAAGCAATGTGAAAAAAAAAATGAAATTGGATGGGGATTGTGGAAAAAGGTATTTCCTTGTAGATCAAACGGGAAGCGGAGGGTTGAATATTTTTCTTGTAAAATTAATAGAAAATGTGTATATGTGTGTGGGGATGTGGTTTGGGATGCCCGGCAGTCAGGTCAGAAAGCACTGCATATTCTTCGAAACGGATGGCAGACCGGATATTTGAATGGTGGAGACCAAATAAAGAGAACATGGAGAAAGGGGCATAGGTATATTGAGCGGAGCTGAACCAACCAATCTATCCAGTATTTTCTGGGGTGTAACAAAAGGATCCCAAAGGAAAGAATCCATCTTGTTTGGACCGAATATGGACAATGGATAGAGAAGAAAGGTGGAGATTGATAGAGTAGAAAAGTGGAATTTATATGTTTTCAATAGGATAATCAGGCTTAGCTACGACGTAAACCATTTACTGTAAATGGATGGATGGGAAGCTAGCAACTTGAAGAATATCAATGATCAGCTGTTGACGTCTCTGGAAGCATGGAATTCATTGCATCGTTTCAACTCTTCCGCTTAATTTTGGAAAATCTCCCTCCACCAAGCAATGAGAGCAGAACTTTTGGAGGGTATCGATATGTTCTGGGGATTACCTGTCCATCAAAGTCAAGCTTCCCTTCAATGTTCACCAAATATTCTTTGCCAGAGTTTATGATTTGCACCAGTAATTCAATTAGTTCTGTATCAAATTCAGCACCATTTTCTTCAGCAAATCTATAAGAATGTTTTGCAGTAACTATGCGGAAGTCTTCCCTTAAAATAGAAAAAAAAAAATTAACAATCGATCATAAATACAAGGATCACAACACTTACTGAACAATCGTTGACATTTCCTCCTGAAACTGTTCAATCGACATTTCTTCCCATTTCAATGTATCGTTCGTAATCTTCCCCAAACACTGAACACGGGTTACTCTTGCTTGGCTTATTGCTTGCATCAGTTTATGTTTGCGTCTACAATTGCTTGCATTCGTAATGTTACTCTCGCTGCTGATTTCAAACACTTCTCCCGTTGATTGTAGTTGTACCTCGTAGGTACTGGTTCTGATCAAGTTGCATGAATCAATATCCTCATCAAAGTGATGAATCCGCAATAACGTAAATCCTTCCCTAAACGAGCAGAGGGAATTCGGTTGTAGAAATTTAATTTTTTTCAAAAACAAATCTTACTTACAAGCCCGCCTCAAGAAACGATTGTGCAACATGGGATGCTTCGTCTGGCGTTAGATCAGTAGTTGGACCAGCATCGGAAGTATCCGTTGGCAAACATCCAACAAAGTAGAATACAAGAATATTAAATATAATTTTCGACAGCATCATTCAACGTAGAACAGATTGGAAAAAGACTATTCAATCACTGAGCTCAGCTAGAGATCGTTTACTTCTCGCGGGCGTTATCAGCTTGAATTAAAAACAAAAAAACAAAGGCATAGATTAAAATTTGGCGAAACGTTCAATTCCACTGTTGCAATACATATTGATAAGAAAGATTCAATTAATTGACATTGCCCTGGAAGCGTTCGCGACCTATTATTGATGTTTGATACTCCTGTCATAAACACAATGCTGTCATCGTAGCTAGTAAGTCGATATTTTAATGTCAGAACTCAACTATTTGGATGAAATCAAAGTGTTGGATTTAAAAAAAAACTAGCTTGGATACCAACCGTGATTACCCTCCATCAACATCTTCTGCAGTCAACACCACTGTCAATAAACACTGCATTAATATCTTCTACAGTCTCCTCCAGAAGTCTCAGAATTGCTAACTGGATGTCCACCTTTTTAGAAAAGCGAAGTTTAAGTTCGACAGATTATTATTTTAACTGTTTAAAAACAATAAATTTTTCAATACTATTTTTATCGTAGTCAATGAATAATAACAATAAAAATTCAGTAGAAACAGAAAAATCACAATTTTACTATGAATTTTATGCTACAATATAGAATCACATAGGACGTTTTGACTAGTCGAGTTGTGCATCGGACATGTTACATTGGACGATTTTGCTCAATGACATAATCAATGAGTGTTACATTGGACGTTTTGTTCTACATGATACTAGATTCCCTTTCACAGATTTCAGAGTAGAGTACCTAACTTTAAATTGGCCCAGTCTTTAGAAAATGAGCACCAATCATGTTAGGCAGTCCGAACAACCGAAGTAATAATCATGTACCTATCAGTTGTACATTGGTCAATTTTTGAACTATGATTATCTTAAATAAATTGAAGTATATTTGTATGGGTATTTTTGTATCACATGCAATGTTAGAAGAGCAATAGTTTGTATCACTTAACTCGATTTGTTCACATTTGCTATTTAGGTCCTTTTGAAAAATAACGCGAGATATATTCTCAAGGATGATCACTGCTCCAAAAGTGAAGTTTCACTGTAGTTTCACTACCGAAATCTATTCCATCGCGACCCGGAGTGTCCGAGTTAATCCCGTACGCGAGTTAAGATTTCACGGACGTGATAACCTTTTTAAAAAATACAACTTAACTACACGCTAGCCTAAAACGAACTCCTCTTTATTTTTCAATTAAACCTAACTACAGTTCATATTGCCTACTCTGCATTTCCTCCGCTGGTGCCATCGTCCAAATTCCGTCCGTTGCCATCGTCGATCAATTTGCCTTGCCTTGCATATTCGTAGCTGCCCGTCCGGTGTGCCGTCGTTGCCAAGTTCCAAAGTGCATGTTCAGCATCAGCATTCCAGCCGGGTGGCTTCGGTGCTAACTCGTCCCCTTCCTAAGATTCGGTTCCGTCCGAATCATATCTGCTGGAGAAATGTTCCTAAAGATGTCCTCTTGAAATTTGTTGGCTGTAGCTGTTGTTGTAGTTAGTGGGATTCCTGGTGATTGGCTGTTGATGTTTACTTTGACAGTCCGTTTTCTGTAGAAGAAATAGCTTAAAATGATAGAACCAATTATGAGAGGAGTGAATGAGATTCCTCCGAAGATGGCCAATGGTGACCAATGGATGCTATTGCTTGTTAAGCGGATGACGTCCAACTCCTTCCTTGTTTCCAGATGTAGCTCATGAAGATGCTCCAAGGTAATGTTCAAGATCTCATGATGTTTCTTGACCGCAATTCCATCAAGTGTTAGATGAATTGGGTTTCCTGGAAGTTGTTGACTTCTACTGGAGTATAGAAAGTTGTTTATTTTTACGTAGCAGTTGTTGAAGGAAATAACGAAAGAACCGGATAGATTTCTCTCCGTTATTCCGCAATTGGATGACAGCTTAAAGCTTGATTTTGAATTTATCAGTAAATGGTGGTCATCTAGATAGATGATTTGGTTCTTAGTCGGGTTGGAAGTGAAATTGCATGTTGCAGAATTCCCTCTTAGTAGTCGTGGTATGCATGTTGTATTATCCAAAATAATATCTCGTTTTCCAAAAATAACTGGTTCTACTGACTTGATTGCATAAATTTCTTCCTCGTGTGTTATATAAAATTCGTTGGAGATGTGGATCTGTTTACTGCCGTGTATGATGGGGAACAAGCGTACTTTGTTGAAAATCCTTGAATCGAGCTTAGGCATTTTGATGATGAGAGCAATGTCCAAGTTGTTTGATGTAACCGATGTCGTCGCATAGGTCGTTGCTTCCATAGCAGTATGAACTGTTATATTCTCCCTAGCTAGATCTGCAATCAAAATGTCTATCTCTCTTTGACTTAAAATTTTTATGTTTACTAACCCTAACTTTGCTAAGACGATTGTTTCTAATATTTGATTCAATTTTTCTAGCAAATAGTTCAGGTGAAACAAAATTTTAGTACAATATATTTCGACTGACCCTACATTGAATAGACTTATTGCTTTTTTCGTTTTGAAAATGGCCTCTTTCAGTTGGGAATTCAGTTCCCGATTAATTTTTACCTGTTCGTTATTATTTATAATTAGATTATTAATGGAAGAATTAATTACTTTCAAGTCGTTTGCGTCTGGTGTACCAGCCAAATATTTCCATCCTGTGCCTAAACTATCCCATCGTTTATGTCGCCTTATTGGGTCTATGTTTCTGAAGCAAAAATCTATTTCATTGAATTTTTCAATTATCAAGTCGGTAAACTGATTATTACTAAAATTTTCAAACTGTAATCTGAGGCTTTTTACTTGCGATTTAATACTAGTGAGATTAAAATGATGAATGTAGTACTTGTAGTCTAGTCTTATTCGTGCGTCGCCCTGATGGAATATCAGGATTGGATTTTGTCCTACGTCTCGTATGTCAATCGTCACCTCCTGTCCTGATTGTATTAAGATTGGTAAGAACAGTAGCAGTCTGAAAAATAAATATGAAAGCTATATTTAAATTTTTCTAATTTTAATATCGTCCTTATGGATCCGTCGTCCACAATCTGTCGTTACGGTGCTTTTATTTACTTTAGAAATTTTGATTTTCTTAAATCGTTTTTTATGTTTCAGTCTCTGTCGAGTTGTCTCGAATGCGTCGATATTGTCTCCCATTGGGGTAAATTTCTTTTTCTTGTTATGGTGAGCCAATGAATTTTCTTGTGTTTGCTTTAAATTTCGAAAAACTTTTTCGATAATTTCTGGTGTTCGAGGAGAAGGTAAAATTATTTCCAGTGGTGTAAATTTTGTTGAGGAATGGATGGTGGAATTGTATTTCTGAACGGATAATTGGACTAAATCAGGGACTGGTGTGTTGGGGTGCTCGGTTTTGGTGATTCTGTAAATTTCTAGGAGCGTTGAATGGAATCGTTCAACAGTTCCATTCATTTCACTCCGGCCGGTAGCTGTAATGTAAGGAGTAATTTTGTGTATATTATAAAAGTTGACGAGCTCTCCTGTCATAAAGGATTTTTCTCCATCCATTACCAGTGTATCTGGTGGTTTATACTTAAGCAAAATATCCTTTATAGCGGGTGTGAGGTCAATGGCTGCTCTAGATTCTACTGGTACAACCTGAGCAAATTTTGAAAATTTATCGATATATGTAAGGAAGTGAAGGCTTTCCAAAAACATGATATCGATGTGGGCTATCTGAAATGGGGTGTTAGGGATCGGAGTTTCCTGAAGGGGAAATTTTATCGGTTTCCTGTCATATTTGCATTCATTGCAAATTTGACAGTTCAAGATGAAATCTACCACTTTCTGGCTTAATTTGGGGAAAAAATACTTTCTAAATATTTGTTGTCTATTTTCCTGAGCACCTCTGTGTGCTCGATAGTGCTCAGTGTGGATAATGTTCCACTGTCTGTCCTCTTCCTTAACGTCTTCAAGCATGTTCTGAGTAAAACGGATTGTTAACAGTTTTCCTTGCCCAAAGTTCTTTTTATAGACCTCTTGGATCTTTCCCATAATTTCTTCGTCTGTTAGCAAACCGTTAATCTTCGAACAATTGAAGTATGTTTTTAGTACCTGAAAAATAGAGTCATTGTTAATATCACTTAAATAAATTATGTTCCTATGGTAGCCTGGAAATGGGGTTTCAGTTGTGATTTTGTCAGGTCCTTTTTTTATAATAACTTGGTGGCGAAAAACGTTGATGGGTGATAGCGTGGATTGAATATATAAGTCATCGCTGTTGTCCGCAGAATGTTGTGTTCCTGTCATGGAACAAACAACTCGGCTTAAAGCGTCGGCTACGACATTCGACTTTCCTGGTTTATACACGATTTCGTAATCGTGTTCTTCTAAATAAGCCTTCCATCGCTTTAGCTTTGCGTTAGTATTTTTGGGCGACAAAGCAAAAGTGAGAGGCTGATGGTCAGTGATAACTTTAAATTTTGCCCCATAAAGATAATTTCTAAACGTTTGCAGTGCCCAGTAGATTGCCAACATTTCTTTTTCTGGTACGGAGCATTTCTCCTCGCTGTTAGATAGTGTTCTAGAGGCGAAATGAATAGGTCTATCCTTTCCCATTTCTCCTTGCGATAAGACCGCACCGATAGCAAAATCAGAGGCGTCGGTCGTTAGAATGAAAGGTTTGCTGAAGTCTGGATAGATAAGTATGTCGGATGATGAGAGTAGGGACTTCATTTTTTGGAAACACTGCTGTTCTCTATGGTTTAACGAAATTTTCTTGTTAGATGAGGGCGTTCTCTCCCCCCTTAGAAGATTTGTCAGGGGTTTTGCAATTTTTGCAAAATCTTTGACAAATCTGCGATAGTAACCCATCATGCCTAAGAACCCTCGAAGTTCTTTTAAATTTCTGGGTTCTGGATATTTGTTTATGATTTCAATTTTTTTCGTGTTAGGTTTCAATCCTTCTGCACTTATGATGTATCCTAAAAATTCAATTTCTGAATGTAAGAACTCGCATTTGTCGAGTTGGATTTTAAGGTTGGCATCGTTTAACGTTTTCAAAATTATCTTCAGATTTTTCAAGTGCTCGGCTAAAGTTCTCCCAAAAACAATGACGTCGTCTATATAGACATAACAAATTTTGCCTATATGATCTCTTAGTACGTCATCGATCGCTCTTTGAAAGATCGCAGGGGCGTTTTTTAACCCGAATGGCATTCGAGTAAATTCGTACTTCCCATTATTGATCGCAAAGGCTGTTTTTTCGATATCTTTTTCCCTCATTTTTATCTGGTGGAAACCAGACGCTAAATCGAGGGTCGTGAAGTATTTTTGCCCTTTGAGTTGGTCTAAAACGTACCCAATCTCGGGCATAGGATATTTGTCCGCAATCGTTTTTTCATTAATTTTCCTATAGTCTATGACCATTCGGAACTTCTTCTCTCCGGAAGCATCGGTTTTCTTCGGTACGATCCAGACCGGTGCTGTCCATGCTGAGCGAGAAGGTCTAATGATGCCATCTTCTAGTAATTTATTAATCTGCTTCCTAACTTCATCTGTGTATGCAGCTGGGTACGGATACACTTTTTGATGCACAGGAATATCGTCCGTAGTGTTGATAGTACACTCAACATTGGTTGAACACGTTAATTTCTCACTAGGTTCATGGAACACTTCCTTAACATCGTCAAGTACAGATTTCAATTGGATTTGTTCCTCTTCAGAAAGGTGGGATGTTCGAAAAACGCTATTTGACGAACGATCCGTTTGAAAATATTCATAAAGGGGAATAACGAGCATTTCATTGCCAGAATACAATGACAGCGTTTTGTTGGAAAAATTTATTGTTGCATTTAATGCGTTCAGTATCCCTGTTCCAATTATTCCGTGGAAGAATGGATGGAACTTATGTAACAAGAATTTGGCGGTGTGATTTATTTTAGGATAAAAAAAATTTATGTCAATAGCGGAGGTTGCATCGAAGCTTCCGTTGGCACTAGTTATGCTACGGGCGTTAAAATTATATGGTTTGGAATTTTTGTAGGACCAAGCAAGTTTGGGGTTAATTAAATTAATATTTGCCCCGGTGTCAATTAAAAAAGGATAAAAACCATTTGTTGTCTTCAGGTTGATGTAAGGCAAAACTGGCTTCACCAACTTGGGCTCCAATCTAAAAAATTAGTGGCACTAGATGTTGAAGGTAGCTGCTCGTCCTTTTGTATCTCAGGTGGCGAATTTGTGGGAATTTCTAATTCTTCTGGTTGTTCATTTGGTTGAAAATGTTGATAATTTTCGAAATTTTGGTAAGGATCAGACGAATGGTTGTAGTCATATTCGTAAAAATCATCTGTTTCTTCGTCGAAAGTATCGATCGGATGCGCATGTCTTTTAAATTGAGGTACTTGGGATGAAAGTGGGGCTGGCCTTTTAAGGTCCATCTGAGGTCGGTTACCGTAATTAACGATGCGGGAACGAATACTTGGATCGATATCCATGGGTTCTGGTCTCGGTTGGGGTTTTGGGAAAAAAGGTCTTGGAGGCGGTTGAAATTGGTTTTGGGCGAAAGGATTTGGCTGAAATTGTTGCCTATTTTGCGGAAAGTTATTTTGTAGAAATTGTGGTCTATGAAAAAGAGGTTGCTGTGAGAAAAAATTTCTTGGTACTGGGGTTGGAGGAGGAGGAAATTTTCTAGGTAGTGGTCTTGGAGGGTTCCTAGAAATTTCGAGATCTCTAGGTTTATGATTTTGTATTGAGTGCTCACTACGAAATTGTGCTGATCTTGCATCCATGTTGTAGTAGTCCAGACAAAATTGGTAAGCGTGGTTAAGAGTCTTCGGATTATACGTTCTTAGAAGTTGGCATAGAGGTTTTTCTAGACCCCGGATAAAAGCATCCACCGCTTTGTCTCTGAAATAGTCGATATGAGAATCGACGTGCAATGCATATTTTTCCTCCGTTTGTATCTGTGCTATCATTGAGGACAGTAATTCGTTAACTCTGGAATAATAGCTCCCAAAGCTCTCGTTGGTGGATTTTTTAATTGATGTTAACTCATAATCCAGAGTTTTCAGATCACGCTTATCCCTATAATAGATAAGCAAGGTTTGTTTAATTTTCGCCCAATCGTGTATCACGTTGTTGGCATTTAGAATATCGGCGGCTTCGCCTCTTATTTTCCTACGTATGCAACGTTCGATTAATGCAATTTGCGCCTCTGTCGCTCCTGCTTCCTTATACATGTGGAAAATTCCCTCTACATCAGTTAACCAGGCTAAAAGCTCGGTCGGTTTGCCGTCGTATTGTTGGACGTCCCGGATAAAATCCGGTAACCTTCCCAGTTCTATGAATTGTTGCATCGTTAGAGGTGCAACCTCTGGCTCGGGATTAGGGTTTGCCATAATCCTACCAAAGTAAAAATTTAGTCTGCTTTTTTTGTGTGAAATTTTGTTTCGCCTGGTAGCTGTTACTACACTTATTATTTACTTTTTCAATTTTTTGCTTAGAACTTATTCACTTTTTCACTTTTGTTACTTAGAACTTAATAGGGGAAAAAATTACTGCTTACTTACATAAAGGACCGTGTCCTGGGTACGGCCAACATCGATCGTTGGTCTTTTGGTGGCTGTCCTCTCGAAACGGGGGATCTACGAGCAGGCACTTTTGGATTGTCCGTTTTGCTGCAGCTACTCCGGGCCAGCGGTGCCGATCGGGTGTCGATGTCCTCAGTGTCTCGCAGCTCGCTTTGTGATATGAAGGCCTGGCTCGTTGAACCAGAACCACTACAACTTGGCTCTTTGAACCAACCACTTTCACTTTTTTTTAAAGATTTTTGTTGCACTTTTTACTACGAGTTTTACTCTTTCACTATCACTTTATACAGTTCCCGTCTGAGAGGATCTCGCCGGAGCCTCCAGTTAAGATTTCACGGACGTGATAACCTTTTTAAAAAATACAACTTAACTACACGCTAGCCTAAAACGAACTCCTCTTTATTTTTCAATTAAACCTAACTACAGTTCATATTGCCTACTCTGCATTTCCTCCGCTGGTGCCATCGTCCAAATTCCGTCCGTTGCCATCGTCGATCAATTTGCCTTGCCTTGCATATTCGTAGCTGCCCGTCCGGTGTGCCGTCGTTGCCAAGTTCCAAAGTGCATGTTCAGCATCAGCATTCCAGCCGGGTGGCTTCGGTGCTAACTCGCGTTATCCTTACTTCTTACCAATCAGGCTACGGCCTTGTTGTCCTCTGCTGTCCAAATAAGTCGTCTCCACTCTACTCGATCCATGGCCACAGTTCACCAGCCTTGTAGTCTGCGAAGGGTCCGCAGGTCACCTTGTACTTGGTCGATCCACCTTGCCCGCTGCGTGCCTCTTCTTCTTGTTCCTGTTGGGTCACTTTCTGGAACAATTTTCACTTGGTCGTCGTACGGCATTCTTACGACGTGCCCAGCCCACCGTAGTCGCCCAATTTTTGCAATGTGGACGACGGATGGTTCTCCCAGGCCAGGGCTTGAAAGGGGATCGCATATCGACTGTGACTGCGTGATCGCGTACGTTTTCTGCATTCAATGTGCGAAGCAAGCACGTCGGTTTGACTGGCAAAATGGCGCAGTCGTTCTGCCTTTTCTCGATTGCTTGTGTGGTGTTTGCCGCAGCAACTCGGTGGAAGCCGATTTTTCAATTCATTCATTCTCCCGCTTATCGTGCATGTTGAAAGTTGAAGCTGCAGAATGACCGGGAGTACTCTGCGTATTTTGTTTTCATTTCTCTTTTCCAATGGTGAGCTATGCTGTACGAGTCTCCCGATAAACGCGGTAGGAAATATGTTATATTCACCGCTATAACTCGGCTGTTTTCAAACCAATCGATCTAATTTTTTAATATTTGAAGTCTCTGGTTAATACTTTTTACGTACAAAAATGAAATCGACTTCTTTCTTCCTACCGAGCCGAACAATGAATCAGATCCTTTGTAACATTGACAGATTCTCTTTGTCGATTTTATCTTTGCATGGCCATAAATATTAATTTCCAGCTATTTTCAAATCACAGTTTGATAAAAGAAGGTATTATCAGCAACGGTTTTGTAGCCAAGTAATTAACCGTTATGTGATCGACAAAAAAAAACACCTTTAGGAGCTCGACAAGGTACTTCCACAAATTGAAATACTTGCTACTACGGCCAAATTTGATCGATTTTGAATCTTTTGGCACCATAGGATTCAGAAACTTGTCTTCTTTCTGGACATTGCCAACAATGTCCATTCGAAATAGTCTGGTTCCCAGAAATCCGGATTTCTTGTATAATGTTCCATAAGTAAGCATTTTCTTGCCTCTCGCTAGAATATTGAAGGAATCGATATCAAAGTAGAATCTCCTTCAAGAAACAATTTCAGCTTACTTGAGGACCAGTTTAAGGTTTCTCCCCGGAACGGCCATTCCGGCGCAGGTTCCCGTAGGGCCTCTAATGGCCATGGAAGAGTTTTGGAAGAAACCCCTACAATATGGGTATCAAAATTCATGAATTTACAGCAGGAGACTGTTTATCATAATTTTGTGATCATCCGATGGATTGTCCCGGAGTTGGTTCCCGTAGCGCCTCTAGTGGCCATAGAAGTGTTTGGAAAGAAACCCCTGCAATGATTTTTCAGATTTTGCTCCACCTCCGCCAAAGTAGGTCCGTCCAGATTATTCTTTTGCGTTTGAGTTGTAATTTGCTTGTTATTTCATACCACAATAGCCTTTCGAGGTTTAAATGGCAATTACAAGGGAAAAAAAATATTTTGTTTTATTTTCTTCGTTTTAGCCTTTTTCCAAAATGATATACGGGTATGCCTACTATCTTTTCTTATGTAAAATTTGGAGACCACTTTTTGAAAGAACTTTCTCAAATTTTCTCGTAATAATTTCCTTATAAAAATCAAAGAGCAGTATAAGATCGCAACCAAATGGGTTAAAATTTCTGGAGAATAGTCAGAAATTATAATCGATTGAGCAGGGTAGAGCAAAATCTATATTTTTAAACACCCTTGTATAGAGGTTAGTCATGGATATGCTAAAGATAATTTATGAACTTTTTCAGCCTGTTGTTTTAGCAACCTAGCAATCTCTAGCGTAAAAAATGTATCGAATTTTAGGGAAAAAACGGTAAAGCATTCGAACTGGGGTCATTTCTTTATTATCTTACAGGTTTGTCCTAATAACGGGTGGTTAGGGAAATGTTACGTTTATTTTATTTGCGAGTGGGCTAAAGGGTATCAGAGTATCCAAATTTAATAAAATGTTGCCCTTGGGTAGAGTTTATATTAGATGGAAGGAAAAAATAGAGTTTATCTCAGCGAATTACAGTTCAACTTTTCGAGGTTTTCAGAACATCACTTGCTATAAGAAAACATAGCTTAAGAACGAATGCTCTTAGAAACAAGGTTGTAGAGTGAAGCACTACTTCGGAATATTGTAAAAGTTTCCGTTATACGCGTCAAAAATAATGAAGACAAACAGCGATATCCAAAATATATAAATGCAAAAACTGATTTTTCTACCTATTCGTAAAGCTGTGCATTTGGAAGAATGAATGCGAAAAGTAGCGTGGAGCAACGGATGGTATACGAAGTACCGCACACAAAAGACTACATGAAATTGAATGAATGGTTATGTTGACTGCGCATGAAAAAAAGGACAGACAGAAGCCCTGCTCCCAGCAGCTGGTGCAATTCGTAGATGGTACGCAACACCTTCCGTTCGAAAACACCAAGGGTCCTCCACGAGCATAGTCCAGGTCTCGTGGCTGTAGAGGACCACCGGTCTAATCAGCGTCTTGTAGACAGTCAACTTCGTGCGGCGGCGAATTTTATTCGACCGGAGCGTCCTCCGGAGTCCAAAGTAGGCACGATTCCCTGCCATAATGCGACTTTGAATTTCTCTGCTGGTATCATTTTTGGCGGTCACTAGTGAGTCCAAATACACGAACTCATCGACCACCTCGATTTCGTCACCGTCAATCTGAACTCGAGGTGGGAGAATAACAGAACCTCTTCCTTTCATGTATTTTGTCTTTGATGCATTGATAGCAAGTCCAATCCGTCTAGCTTCAGCCTTCAGTCTGATGTACATTTCTGCCATCATCTCAAAGTTCCGTGCCATAATGTCAATGTCATCGGCGAAGCCAAGGAGCTGGATGGACTTCCTGAATATCGTGCCACTCATGTCTATCCCAGCTCTTCTGATCAGACCTTCTGACGCGATGTTGAACAGCAGACACGAAAGTCCATCACCTTGCAGTAACCCCCTTCGAGATTCAAAGGGACTCGAGAGTGTCCCCGATACTCGAACAACGCACATCACTCGATCCATCGCCGCATTGACCAATCGCGTCAGTTTATACGGAAATTCGTACTCGAGCATAATCTGCCATAGCTGATCTCGATCGATTGGGTCGTATGTGGATTTGAAATCGATGAACAAATGATGTGTGGGCACATTGTATTCGCGGCATTTCTGCAGAACCTGCCGAATCGCGAAAATTTGGTCCGTGGTAGCGTTGGCACCTTTGAATCCCGCCTGGTATTGGCCCACGAACTCTCTTGCAAATGGTGACAGGCGGTGGCATAGAATTTGGGAGAGTACCTTGTAGGCGGCGCTCAGCAGTGTGATCGCGCGGTAGTTGCTGCAATCCAATTTGTCGCCCTTTTTGTAGATTGGGCATACGACACCTTCCATCCACTCCTCCGGTAATATCTCCTCCTCCCAAATCTTGGCAATTAGCCAGTGCTTCACCACCGTATTTTAATAGCTCACTTGGTAGTAGATCTACACCAGTTGCTTTGTTGTTCTTCAGCCGACCGATCAATCTCCTTGCGGGGAAAAAGGTACTTCGAACTACCATACCCCGAGAGGCTGTAAAGTTCACGCATCGTTGGCCGTTGTCGTTCGATACGGCATGCAGGCTGTTTGGCCCGATTGCCGGTCTATACATTGCCTCCCGTCCTACCTGAGCGTTGCGTCGTACACCTGCTCCAGTTGTGCATAGAACGCTTCTTTCTCGTCGTCGGGTCTCCCTTCGTGTGGGCAGTGCATGTTGATGATACTGAAGTTGAAGAAACGGCCCTTAATCCTCAACTTGCACATCCTCGCGTTGATCGGCTGCCAACCAATCACGCGTTGGCGCATCTTACCCAGCACTACAAAGCCGGTTCCCAGCTCGTTGGTGGTGCCACAGCTCTGGTAGAAAGTAGCCGCTCGATTCCCGCTTTTCCATACCTTTTTTCCCGTCCAGCAAAGTTCCTGCAGTTTACCGAGATTACCGATTACTCGAAGTTGCGTGGTTGAAGTTCGTCATAGATTAACCTATCGCAACCCGGGAAGCTTAGCGATTTGCAGTTCCATGTTCCGAGTTTCCAATCGTAGTCCTTATTTCGTCGCGTAGGTCTGTGCCGATTATTCCGAACTTGCAGCGCGCTCCACCAGCTCGAACAAGCGACTGCGGATCGATGACCAGGACGAGCATAAGACGGATTCGGCGGAAAGTGATGCGAGTGTGAATTCGATCACGCTGGGAGGTATCATGAAGACGATGATGCAGCAGTTCACGGAAATCAGGCAG